TCTCGCCAAGTTGCCCAGGCAGGTCTCGAACCCGCAGGCTCAAGCAATCCACTCACCTCAGCCTTCCAAAGTGCTGGGGTTACAGGCTGAGCCACCAAGCCCGGCTGGTCCCACTCTTTTTAAAAAAATTTTTGAGCTGGAGTTTCACTCACCAGGCTGGAGTGCAGTGGCATGTTCATGGCCACCACAGCCTCGACTTGCTGGTCTCAGGTAATCCCTCTGGTCCTCTCGCCTCGGCCTCCCAAAGTGCTGGGATTACAGGCTTGAGCCACTGCACCTGGCCTGGTCCCACTCTTAATTGGAGGAGCTATAGTCATTGTTTGCTGTCCCTTGGGTCTGAGTATAAAGGTAGCTGGTAGAACCATTGCTAAAGGGTGACTTCTTTAATTTAGTTGCACACCTACTTCCCTGAAGACATTTGTTTAGCTCTTTGATCCTTGATTGTCAATGTTAGTTTGCTGCATAAATGCTTAAAAAGCCCTTTGAATCTCCAGTGATGACAATGACAGTGAAAGGTAGTAGCCCATGTTCAATTCTTACTATGTGCCAGGTAGTTTTCAACTGGGCATGATTTTGCCCCCCAGGAGACATCTGACAATATCTGAAGTCATTTTTGGTTGTCACAGTTTGGGTGGGTAGGGAGTGGGACTGGCATCTAGGGGTACTGCCTTCTAGGGAAGCCACTAAACAACCTACAACACACATAGCAGCCTTTCCACAACAAAGAATTCTCCAGCCCAAAATGTCAAGTGTCATGGAGAAACCCTAGTTTGATATGTAATATAAGTATTACCCTTACCACAATCTTAGGAGACAACAGTCCTGGGCACCATAACTGTTAGGTCAATAAGGCATTGAAAAGTTATGGATTTTGTACAAGGTCCACCTTGCTAGTAAATGGGAGAGCTGGGAGAACCCAAACCCAGGGGGCCTGACTGCAGCCTGTAGTAGTAATCTCCCTTCCAGGCTGCAATTTAGTTATTACTGTCAGGTATAACTAAATTAGTTGAAAGCCTGGTCGCATTCACCTTTATTCCCAGGACTCAGCACCATGTCTGGCACGCAGAAGGTGCTCAGAAAACATGTGGCGCATAAGTGCTTAAAAAGACAAACAACAACCAGTTGCCTGTGCTGTAAGATTAATCATGATGGATGCCATTTTATATATGGCTAGCATTTCTTACCTGAATTGCTATATGCCCACTTCTCATTATTGGCCAATGCCACAAACTTAGTATTGGAAGGCAGACACAGGAAGTAATCGTCATCATCCACGATGGTGCCATCCTCTGCCAGTACCAGGGTGACTGGAGTCAGGGACTTATCAATGGCCAGAATGTCACAGGCTGAGAAGAATAAAATATTTGGCAACTGAAAAACATTCATAAGGAAATTACATCTGTCCTTGCACTCTTAGTATGTATGCCTCCAGAATGGAGAATTCCTGAGTTAATAACAACATTAACAACCAAAACTACTAGCAATGATATAACACTTATCACGTGCCTTGTACTGTTCTAAATGCTCTTCTTTTTTTTTTGAGTTGGAGTCTCACTCTGTCGCCCAGACTGGAGTGCAGTGGCGGCTCCCAACCACCACAGCCTCGACTTGCTGGGCTCCGGCAATCCTTCCACCTCAGCCTTCCGAGTAGCCGGAATTACAGGCGCACGCTACCACGCCCGGCTAATTTTTTGATTTATTGTAGAGATGAGGTCTCGCCTGCCCAGGCGGGTCTCGAACCCGCGGGCTCAGGCAATCCACTCACCTCAGCTTCCCAAAGGCGCAGGATTACAGGCTGAGCCACCAAGCCCAGCTCTAACTGCTTTTCAAAATCTGTATTTAGTCTCAACGCAATCCTGTAAGGTAGGTACTATTATTTCCGTTTTACAGATGATAAACCCAAGTCTTAGAGAGTTTAAGTCCAAGATCACACAGTAAGTGGCAGGGCTGGGATTGATTTTTACTTTTTCAAAAAGTTTTTGAGTCGGGTCTCACTCTGTCACCCAGGCTGGAATACAGTGGCATGACATGGTTCACCACAGCTTGACCTATTGGGTTCAGGTGATCCTTCCACCTCAGCCTCCTGAGTGGCTGGGATCGCAGGTGCACACCATGCCTGGCTAATTTTAAAAAATTTTTTGTAGAGACAAGGTCTATGTTGCCCAGGCCAGTCTTGAACTCCTGGGGTCAAGCAATCCTTCTGGCTCGGTCTCCTGAAGGGCTGAGATTACAAGTGTGGGGACCTGTGTCCAGCCCAGAGCTGGGGTTTAAATCCATACAGTCTGGTTGGTTTACCACAGTTACTCTGCACCCATGGATAGCAGGCATTTGAGTTTGTACTTGAGCAGACAACCAAAGTGTGGTTTGATTCCTTGTGAACAAGCAATCTTTCATTCATTTATTCAGTGGTCATTTTAAATTCTCATGTCTAATGTCAGAAAGGAAGAAAGAAAATTTGTTTCTTGTAGTGTTTTCCTTCGCAGCCATTTTTTTTTTTTTTTTGTT